ATAAAAAAATCCCACCGACTTCAACCCCACCCCCCCCCCCTTTAGCGACGCCCCTGAATGTAGAGTGGCTTGAGCGGGTAGGCACAGGTCGTGGTTCTAAACTTACAGAGACACTTCGATGAAGACATCCTTATTTCATGATTGCATGTGTTTGAACTGCCCTGGACTTTACAACTTTAAACCTCCAGGGTTTATTTTGCATATATATAGGTATTTATCAAATATCATAGGTAGCAAATAAAGAATTACTAAAAGAGGAATGAAAACAAACAGATAGTAGAGGATGATCAAGCATAATGATGTGCACCAATGATAATGATAACCGAGCCCGCCAAAATATGCGGGGGGGGGGGGGGCTCTGTGATGTTATCCGAGCCCAACAAAAACAATTGGGTGATATCTGAGCCCCACCCAGACGCGTACGCAGTGGGGGGGGTGTTTTGGGGGGTTAAAACCCACGTATTTTTATGTGTGTAAACCCCCCTAAAAAATCCCTAAACCCCCCCCCCCCCCCCTTTGGATTTTTTTTTTTTTTTTTTTTTCATTATTTAAAAAAAAAAAAAAAAAAAAAAAAAATTACCCCCATGGCTGACCTAAGAAAGGTGACCTTACCCCCCCCCCCCAAAGGAGCAAAATGTCAATTTTCAAATTTCGAGACCAAAAAAAAGAAAGAAAGTGTCCTCTTACCCCCCCCCCCCCCCCCCTCCCCCCCCCCCCCCCCCCCCCCCCCTTTTTCAGCGGTTGGTTGAGTCGTTGCGATTTTTTTTGGGACCAAAAAAAAAAAGTGTCCGCTTCCCCCCCCCCCCCCCCCCCCCCCTCACTGAGCGACTTTTCGGCTGGCTGAGTCGTTGCGAAATTTTGTACCCGATTTTAAAACCCCCCCCTTGAAAAAATCCTGCGTACGCCACTGGCCCCACCAACATATGGGGGGGGGGGCTCAAAGATATCTGAGCTCCACCAAAATATGGGGGGGGGGGCGCTCAATGATATCAGAGTCCCGCCAAAATATTTGGGGGTTTCAATGATATCCGAGATCCACCAAATATATTTTTGGGGGGCAATAATATGAGAGATCCGATGTCGGAGCCCCCCCCCCCCCTCCTCCCCAAATAAATATTTATAAAATGTTTATATTGAAATGGTAAGCCTGTAGATTATAGGTATACATGAGTTTCATGCTTAGAATATAATGATTGGGAGGAGGGGGGGGGGGGGTTAATGATATCCGAGCCCCGCAATAAGTATCGGGGGCGGCTCAATGATATCTGAGCACCACTTAAATATGGGGGGGGGGGGCTCAAAGATATCTGAGCTCCACCAAAATATGGGGGGGGGGCGCTCAATGATATCAGAGTCCCGCCAAAATATTTGGGGGTTTCAATGATATCCGAGATCCACCAAATATATTTTTGGGGGTCAATAATATGAGAGATCCGATGTCGGAGCCCCCCCCCCCCCCCTTCCTCCCCCAAAATAAATATTTATAAATGTTTATATTTGAATGGTAAGCCTGTAGATTATAGGTATACATGAGTTTCATGCTTAGAATATAATGATTGGGGAGGAGGGGGGGGGGGTTAATGATATCCGAGCCCCGCAATAAGTATCGGGGGCGGCTCAATGATATCTGAGCACCACTTAAATATTGGGGGCTCAATGGTATCTTAGCCCCTAAGGACTCAATGATATCTAAGCCCCACCAACAAATTGGGGGGCTTAATGATATCTATAAGCCCCGCAAAAAATATTAGGGGGCTCAATGATATCTGAGCCCCCAAGCCCCCCCCCCCGGTTCCTAAGCCTTTGTACAGGTCAATGAAGTCTACTTTTTGAAACTTAAAGGGATTGGGTAACTTTGTCTCAGGTTCTGAAACAAAATCCTGGAATGATAGTTAGGGCTAGTTCTGACCGGAAAACGACCCAAAAAATTATGGCTGGCTGCCCCAGGGCCTTGTCCTATATACGGATCAGGGAAACAATACTTTTCAGGTCATGTGGAACGGCGCCTCAAGCCCCCCCCCCCCCCCCACACACTTTTGAAAAAGTATATTAAAGATAATTAAATAGAAAGAAATAGAAAAGAAAGTATGCTCATGTGACCGTAATTAAATGCCCATACCCCTGAGCTTCCGAGGGCTCTGCCCCCTGGACCCCACCTTGTGCCTAAGGCTGGCCCCTGGATGCTCATCTGACCGTAATTTTAATGCCTAAAACCCTTGCGCTTCCGGGGGCTCCGCCCTTGGACCATACGCCAATTAGTGACCTGCTAGTGTCATGAATAAGGTATTAAAATATGCTCACCTGACCGTAATTAAATGCCCCTACCCCCTGAGCATCCGCCAATTTGTGCTACGCTCTACCTTATCTTAAATACTCTAGCCTCCCCCACTCACTTTCAACCACATTTTAATCACTTTATTTCCCATTTAACTCCTTCATTAAACCTCGAAAGGCCCCCAAATACTTGGGGGCGGTGCCTGAATCACGAGTATATACTAGTAGTGAGTTGGTTGAAGAACGAAGCCACGTACAAAAGTATAATCGATTACAACAGTTGTGGGGCCGATATTCATAGAATAAAGGTTTTAAATAAAATATTCACTTCTACTTTCAAAAGGACTGGCCCATTTGCTTTAAAAAATTGTAGAGAGTTATTATGTAATTTCTTTTGCTCCCGAAAATTTGAAAAACGCGCCGGCCAAAAATTCGCTCAGTGGGGGGGGGGGGGGGGGGGGGGGGGGGGGGGGGGTAGTGAGCACATTTTTTTTTTTGATCCTCAAAAAAATTTCAATTTGCACCCCCCCCCTTGAGCGCCAGGAGGGGGCCCTACCCCCAAAAAGGTAAAAATCACGTGATTTTACACGATTTTTTTCTCAAGGGGGGGGGTCCGGGCCCCCCGGGTCCCCCCTGGATCCGCCACTGCAAGGCGCACCACCACCATCATCACCATAATCATCATCATCATCACCATAATCATCATCATCACCACCATCACCATCATTATCATTATCATCATCATCACCATCATTATCATCACCATAATCATCATCATCATCATTACCACCATCATCATCATCATCACTATCATCATTTTAAAATTATCAACATCTCCACAATCATCATCATATTCCTCTGAAGATTTGACATCATCACCTTCACCACAATCATCCTGTCATGATCTTCATCAAGTTCATTATCATCATCAATGTCGATCATTATCATCATCATTGTCATCAACATCATTATCATCAATGAGCACCATTATGTATATATCATTGTCTTAACCATTATAATCATGATCACCATGATCACCACCACCACAATAATAATCATCATCATCATCATCATCATCATCACCACAATCACCACCATCATCATACAACCATCATCATCGTTTTAAAATGATCAACATCTCCACAATCATCATCAGCAGCATCATCGTCATTATATTCTTTTGAAGTTTTGGTATTATTGATATCATCACCATCACCACAATCACGATCCTGTCATGATCTTCATCTTGTTCATCATCATTGCTATCAACATCATTATCGATGTCAATATAATGATTGTTATCAATATCATTATCACTAGCTCCACCATCGTAACTATCAACATCATTATCACCATTAATTATCAAGTATCTCTCTGGTCCCTACTGTGAGTAGATACTCTTTGTCATTCACTGATATCATCATCTAATCTATGAAAAGAGACAGAGGAGAAAAATTTCTTCTTTACATTCTTTACTACATTTTTTATCTTACATGATTGTGACATTCTTACTGGAGAAGGTTTAAAAACATTATAACATCATAAAATTGACCTGTACAATAATGATGACAAATGGATTCAATTCAGAACCTAAAATGTTCAAGTCAGTTACAACATTGCCTGTATAGGAAATATATGAGCCCGGGGAGTAATGTCTCATTGAGGCTTGTATATCATCCACAAACACGAAAACATGTAAAAAGGGTTCTTAATTCATCCCTAGGCCCGTAACATGCATAATGTGTTAAGGGTATCAAAAAACTGGGGAAAAAATTAGAAATGAGGTATCAAATTCACTGGTGATAAGAAGATACACAGAAAAGGTAAGAAATTTGATAGCCTCTGTCGGGAGCAGAGGTTTCAAAAAGATTTGAAAATCCTAGAAATACACAATAAAAAGAATAATAAAAGTCATAAGAACAAGCAATCTTCAAATAGAATCTCCTAATAGAACAACATGATAGAAAGCTGTTCGAACCAAATTATCAAAAGCACAATAATTATGAAAAACATGTAAAATCAAACGATGGTGATGTAAAACATGTGATATATGAGATAAGAAAACAAAATGTTTGCCTTTTGAAAATTTCTGATACACATAATTAGAATAGCAGAATGTGAATGGTTTCTTACAGTTATAAAAACTCAACAATTTCTTGAAAAATACATCAAATGTGCCTACAAAAGGTGTCGGTCAGGATAAAAATCATACAATTGTAACATCACAAATCTTCCTCAACAGTATCAATGGCAAGTTTTAATTGAAGGCATTTTAGGCTTGCTGTGACAATAATGACGAAACTTATTACTATAGTACATTACTTTAATAGGAAGGCAAGTTTTACTATCTTTAAATTGGCAACACATCAAGAAGAGTAAATTTATTATGATTCTGTTTTTGTCAGTCTCCTACTCCAGTTTGCAGGATATTAATTTCATAAACATACTCATTTTCTGAAAGATTGTAACCACAAAATATAATAAAATATAATAATATAATTATACTGGCGTGTTGGCTCAGTCAGTAGAGCGTCCGCCTCACAACCAGGAGGTCGTGGGTTCGAACCCCGGCCGCGTCATACCAAAAGACGTTAAAAGACGGGAGTTGCTGCTACCTTGTTTGGCGTTCAACAATAAAGGGGATAGAGCAACGTCGATCTGGCACTGCCCAGTGGCTGCCGGGCTCACGATTAATTGAGCAAATAGAATTTCCATTTTTGGTTTAACTTAATAAATTTGGAGTGGACTTTAAAAGATTATTATTATTATTATTATAATATTATTTTGCCATTTTGTTGCCAAGTTGAAGAGGAAAAGTTCAGTTCCTACCAAAAAAACTTCTTTTCCTTCTCAGAATTTGTTATTTATTACTTCTGCGCCTGGTGCATTCAATCGTCAAGTCTTAATGCCCCAAATTCACAACAGAGGTACAAAAAAAAACGGGGGATTAAACCCCCTCCTAGGTTTTTGAGACCATAATTTAAACCTCTGTTGGAATTCAGGCCATTGGCTTTTACGGATGCATCATTTTCCATTTGTAATATGGTTTACACTTTCGTATTTGCTTTATATTTGAATATTAATATGCCAATTTATATGTAATTTTGATATTGTTATCTTTACGATATTCCATCTTTTATCTTTGAAGATATTGTCATGACGATGAAAATAAATGTCAATTAAAATTATTCCTGGAGATAAGAATAAAAAGCATACACTAAAATAGAGGAATGAGACCAATTTATAATATGACTCCACCTCTCTCAACTTAACCTGCAATCTTCTTACCACTACGCATGCATGCATCAAATGTTTAAAAATCACAATATCTGTGGGAAATATTAGGCATGTCACCTATAATATAAAGCATAGAATAGACTTGGCAAGAATAAGGAGAGGATTAGAACGGTTCCAGATAGATGACCAACCAGACTCCGGAGATAGACCACAAACTGCTCTAACAAGTTGGGTTCATGCTTGCTTTTGTTCTTCTTTGTTGTCTTTTTCTGGAAAGTGAAAGAGCAAAAGAAAAACATATATAAATGTTAGGAAGCTTCTTAAAGCCCCACTGCACTACTTATAGCTACTTGCGCCCTCTATACAGCCAACAATGCCTAAGCGATACCCGTTGATCCCCCATGATGCCCTTTTTCTTATGTTAATTGAGAGCTGATTTGATGAAATAACCACCTGCCAGTGACCTTGCAGGGAGGTCTAATCCCTCCATGCCAAACTAGTGCAGAGGGGCTTTAAAAGATTTCTCATACTTCAGTAACGTTACACGGCCAAACTGTGACAAGACCGATTCCAAAGGAGTAACGCGATTGTCTGGTGTCGGTCTGGTGTCAGTCTATTGCCTCATTAGTGTGATTGAGGTATTTGCTGTGACTTCAATTGTACACATTGTTCAGATGCATTCACAGCGAAATGATTGCATCAAATAAATTTGTAATACATTAATAATCTTGAAAATTAAGACAATGAAAAAAAAAGGAAGAGAAAAGAGAGGAAACTGCTCAAAGCTTATGCATAGTAATATAATTTGATGGCCAATTTTTATCAATTTCTGTCATACTGCCACACAGTTCAAAGCAACCCAGCCCCTCGATCGATTGATCGAGGAAGACAAATTGCATGGCCACTATAGACAGTTGGTCTTTATGGAGAGGTGGCCGCTAAGAAAGGTTCAACTGTAATACAATAGGGTAACAAAATTGCTCTTGAAATGACTTCTTAAAAATCTTTGGGATCGTGCTCCTTGGATTACTTACCACTTTGATTCCATTTTTATGAATAATCTCCATGAACCGCTGGTTTTTAAGGCTAACTGAAGGTAGGTATTCACTGACTTCTTTCCTTTTCCACCAATCAGAGGCGTCGGTTCTAAATGGACAACAAAGGAAATATTGAGACATTAATGTGTTGCATTTCTAACCCATAATCATGTACAATCATTCATTAATATATGTAAATGCTGCTGAAGACAAACCATAAGCACAATTTTTTTCTTCTGAATAGATAAATACCCTTCTTCATCAAAGGAATGTACATTTCTTTCATCCCAGTCAGTAGAGTATTTAAATGTATTTATGAATCAATCTAATTATTGTTATTATTATTATACATGTGCATGAATACACATGCATTGTAACATTTTGTTAAATCAATTTCTTCTATATTCCTTGCTATTTGAAGTTTCTATACCTTTAAGCATTAATTCACTAATGCCAAACAAGAGATATTGACCAGATAAGACTACACACGGTTGAAAGCATTCATCAACAAAGATACAAGAAATACGGAACCTCATTGACCTACAAGTATGCCTAGTGTTAATACAAAAAAAAATCCTTCCAAGATATGCATTTCTATAATTGCTGTCAGGGAATTTAAAGTTAGAACTTTCCTTTAACTTAATTTATGTAAATTTCGCCACATTTGCTAGCACATTATGTACAACACCCCCTCGATGCCCCCCTACCCACCTCCCCCACCCCTCCCTAAACAAAAACCCTTTCAAATGTTATGTTGGCCCCATGCTCGTAGCTCATGAATACTTACCCATATTCTGTAAAGTGATAATGGAATAGTCTGGCTCGGATATACTTGGGTGGTTCGTCAGGAAATGGATTGTGTTTGATCAGCGCCATTACTACACAAAGATAACAGCAACATGACAATATTTTTTCAATTTCCTTTCATTCATATTCAGTCTCAATTAAGAGTATGTTATATAAAAATTCTTCCTCCATAAGTTACTCACATGACACAGCTCAGAAGAGAAAATACAATGGAATTATTATATATTTGAATGAATGGAATCATCTACACTAAATAAATAAAATATATTGTTAGAAATTTGTCCATGTCTTTAGCATGCATGTATATGAGGAGTAATTTGACTAATGATTAAAAACAAACAATTATCTAAATGAAATGTGAAATCCTTAAATCGCAAGAACCTGACAAAAGGAGAATTTAAAGAACTTGAAACTCAAAGTTAAAGGGATGGAGATGGAGAAAGTGATGAAGGAGAAGAAGAAGGAGCTGGAGAAGGAGGAGAAAAATAGAGGGAAGAGAAAGAGGACGAACGAGGAGGAGGAGGGGGGAAGAAGAAGAAGAAGGAGGAAGAGAAGGAGAAGTAGAAGGAGGAGAAGAAGGAGGAGGAGAAGAAGAAGATGAAGAATGAGAAGAGATAGTAAAAGGAGGAGGAGAGGAAGCAGAAGAAGAAGGAAAAAGGAGGTGCAGAAGAAGAAGAAGAAACCATACCTTCCGGTTGATCATTAAGTAATCTATAGACCATGTTGAGGAACCATGGGTTGCGTTGATATGACCCTAATGCTGCAAACCACATCTGCCAATCCAACCTGGGCTGATGAGGAGCTAAAAACAAACAAGAAGAAAACATATCTTTAATCCATGACCTCTGACTTATCATCATGACCTCTGACCTGCCATTGCAATCCTTCTTAATCTATTGCCTATGATGCAAACCACATCTGCCAATCTAACCTGGGCTGGTGAGGGGCTAAATACAAATAAGAAGAAAACATATCTTAAATTCATGACCTCTGACCTATCATCATGACCTTTGACCTGCCATTACAATGTTTCTTAATCTATTGCCTATGATGCAAACCACTTTTGCCAATCCAAACTAGGCTGATGAGGAACAAAGAAAGAGTATCTTAAAATATATCATAAACTCTAACCTTTCATTATGACATTTGACCTATAATAACGATATTTATGACCCTAACGGTGCAAACCTTATTATTTACAGAGAACGTGTTCGATTTTGGGGGTCCTAATATGGCCAATTGGCATGCAGTATCATGTCCATTTATAATCAAGATCAGTGCTACAACAATAACGTGTGGGCTAGGATGTATTTGAATTTAACCTGTTACCATTGATGATGTGAACCAGGTGTCTGTTTCACAAAGCCTTTTTTCAATGACAAATGGCAAAAATCAGTGACAAATCTGCCGATAACTAATCAGAAGCAAGGATTTCAGTAGCTTATAACAAAAACTGTCATTTGTCACTGATGACAAGTTTTGTGAAACTCCCCCCTGGTGGCTCCTGTATTAAGCCTATGGGACTGACAGAATTCAGAAGTCAATGAGTTAACTGAACTTACCGACCCATACTGGGGCCTCAGAGACATTACCGGGCTTGTAGAGAAACTCATAGGCCTGCAATAGAGAAGAGAGAGAAACCATTAAAGCAGGACTGTACTACTCTTAGCTACTTGCGCCCTCTACATAGCAAACAATGCCTAATCGGCGCCTGTTGGTCCCCCATGATCCTCTTTTTCTTGTGTTAACTGAGAGCTGATTTCATGAGATAACCACCTGCCAGTGACCTTGCAGTGAGGTCTAATCCCTTCTAGCCAAATTAGTGCAGACAGGCTTTAAAATTTTTTGCAAAAAGACCACTCAAGGAGACAAGAAAAGTGGTGCTAATTGTTAGGGGTTGTTATGTACGGGTTCCTTTCATACATATTCCAATGAGAAATGTAAAGGTATCAAGAACTGCACCCTTTACTGTTAGATGATCATTCAAGAATTTACATCTAAATTGCTACTGAATCTATACATCTAAAAGACATATACAGTACAACATTTAATATAATAAACAAACAGAGGGAATAAATGTCTTATTGACGCTACTCACAACATTTTGGTCATTTTGGCCATTTTGGCCACTTTATGGTCGAAACGCACCATTATGGTCACTTTTGGTCAAGGGTAATTTCTCCAACCATTACTACATGTATCAGCAAAGGATATTTGACAGGACCTCTTCTATATGAAAATGTGCCCTGATGCTAGAAAAAGTTGTCAAATTAGCCCTCATCAACAACAATACGGTCATTTCGGTCAATTATATGCCAATTTTCTCAAAAATCAAGATTTTTTTTTCAGTCAGAATCAATTGATACTAGGGTTTTGACATCCAAATTCGATATAAAAATGTACACTGACATGAGAACAATCAATCTCATTGAAATTATTACACAGTTCGGACCACTTTGGTGATTTCAATCTCTAGTCACATACATGTAGTTCAGACTGTTTTCTGAATTATGCCTGCCAATGGCTGATGCCTACAAATTACTCACCTGCCAGCCTGCATCAGCGTTATTGCTGCCCTCCACGATGACCTCTGGACGACCTCCGACCCCTGTCATACTACGGAAGAGGCCGTAGGAGTTCACAATGCCGAGGTCGTCCAGGTTGGTCTTCCATTTATGAACAATTGGTGAGAGACTGTTGTAGGCCTGTCGATCTACCATAGAGTGGGGTACCTAGGAGTGGGTAGGTGAGCAAAAATAAATATATTTTCATAGCATTCTCCCAGAGTATTACCAGGACTAATTAACTTAAGGTAAATTTGACATGTTTAGCGAAGTGAAATATAAACAACTGTTGTGAGACACTGATCTACTACAGAGTGTGGTACCTAACTGTGGGTACCATAGGCCAGAGAAAATAAATACATTTTCAATGTATTCACTACATGTAATTTAGCAGCTATCAATTAAAGTCAATTTGGAGTGTTTAGCTGAGTGAAATATAAACTACTGGTAAAAGACTGTATGTCTGTCATTCCACAACAGAATGAGGTAAGTAGCAGCAGGCCGGTTAGTGAAAATAAATTCAGGTTCAACATATTCTCCTACTATTTTACCAGGAGTCTTATCACGTTAGGTTAACTGGGCACGGTTAGTCATTCAAACTTTATTCTGCTGATGAGAGGCTGCCATAGGCATGCCGAGCGATTCTATTAAAAGCTTTTCATGATTTTTTAAGTACATGCATGAAATTTGGTGAATAAAATCTCAAAAGACATTTGGAATCACAAGTGGAACTATGCTGCTGACATATTGTCATACACCCCCCCCCCCCCTCTTTAATCCTCTAAAGAGTAGTCTACTTACCAGACTTATTGTAAACATGAAAACTGCAATGATGGCAAAAACACTGCACTGGAATACAGACCAGAATTTATCAAAGGCACCAGAGTTGAGAGTAAGGGACCTGGGGAAAAGGGTTGGACAAAAATAAAGAGGCTGCATGAACATTACTTCCGGACAGAAATTGTTCAATACCCGTTTCATAAAACTTGATATCAATAACAAGTTAGAAGCTACTGTTAGAAGCTACTGAAATCATGCATGTGATTAGCTGAGAGCAAATTTGTCATAGAAATTTAGCATTTGTTATAGATAAAAAAAAATTATGAAATGCTTGTCATAATGAGTCTTTTAGTAGTATCTAAAGTGATAAAGCTTATCTCTAGTTCTGGGCACTGTTTCACGAAACCATCATAAGTGCAATTCCGCTGATATCCCATCGAAATACGTGTTAATTTTGAAACGTTTCAATGGGATTTCCACTAACTTGTACTGACGACAGTTTCGTGAAACACCTCCCACAGAAAAATACCCATCCATAAGAACGGTGACCATTTTCTAACCGACTTATAACTGCTGTGAGTAAGAATGCTTCTAAAGAAATGATACCCATCCATGAGAATGGAACCATATCTCATGCTCACCTCCAAAGTGCTGTAAGTATGACAGCTCCCAGAGAAACGATACCCATCCATACTGTGTAAGGCATGATGTTTGTGAGTGCTGTAAAGAAGTCATACTCGCTGAAGGCTGTGAGAGAAAAAAGAGGTAATTTTATTTACTTAATTATTTATTTATTAGTCTTTTTTTAGTAGGGTGGCTTAAATACTGTTTTCCATGGAGGCCCTACAACATGCATTAATAAAGTATTTTGTAGAAATCATTTTTATTAATAATAATCATAACATATTACATTTATAAAGTGCTTAATACAATGTTTCTAAGTGCTTCACAAAAATACAAAGTAATGTTAACTTACACAAATATTATACAATTTCCTTATAATAATAACAATGATTAATCTTTATATAGCATTTGATATATTGACAAAAAAATATGATTACATTACATATTGAACAGATAAGTTTTAAATGCAAATTGTATCAAATGTACCTCTAATTTATTTTCTATTTGATTTTCCTCTAGCACTCATTCAAATATCAGTCGGATGTAACATGATTATACTCCTTCCCTCGCCCCCTCCCCTAAGGAAAGTTAGAATAAGACGAAATACGAAGTTGCTGCATGACTACTTGTTCAGCTAGAAATTTTGTATCCCAATTTGCAAATTAAATAAACAAAAGAAGTTGCTCATTCCAATAAGCAAGTCTTTGCAGCAGCCAATATCGTCGGTGCTTGGGGCAAAATTAATCATTATGAGCCATATAAAAATTGGAAGAAAAAAAATCATTTAAGGAAATTTTTAGACAGAAAAAGCAAAATCAACAATTATGAACCATGTCAAGATTGGGGGAAAAATTATGGAAGGAATTGTTTTAACAGAAAAGTCGAGGGATATACAGCCCAACTCTGAATACTAGCTAGACATTAGATGGTTAAATTATTAGGTGATTCAAACAATGTACTCTCAAGTATATAAAACCTTAATTATCTGTCTATGCACACGCCTTGAATACTAGTACCAATAAGAAATATGTATCTGCTCTATATACTCACCTATTTTCGAAGTGACACTAAATGTTTCAAAGTCCAGCTTGAGTTCAAAGTAGTATATGAGCCCATAGAAGAGACCCGCATAGACCGACACACAAAGCGCACTGCGTAGAAACCTAGAGACAGGTGTGCCTATTTGAAGAAAAATATCAGAACATTTTGGTTATTATGATTTCTAAAGAACCATGCAAATCATTTGTTGTGGTCAAGTGGTTTAAGCACTTGACTTGCAATTCACAGGTTGTGGTTCGATCCCAGACACTGCACAAATGTCCTTTGGCAAGGCATTAATCTTCAATTGCCACACTCGACCCAGGTGAGGTAAATGGGTACCTGGCAGAATTTAATTCCTTGAAATGCTAGAGCACTGTAATGGCAGCTAGGGTAAGGCCGGGGTAATAATTAATGCGCCTCGGAATAGAATTTCTAGATAGACGGCGCTATAGAAATGTCTATAATTATTACAAATGAACTCTCCTTCTTAGTGTCACAATCGATTTTATTTTTTATCGTTTAAAACTCAAAAAGTTAGAACTCTGAAGCACATACCTGAATAGAAATGTTTATCCTTGCCCAGATATCTGTCATCAAGAAGCGAGATGCACAGTGCCATCGTCAGAAGATTGAAGAAATTATAGTTCCCTGTAAGGATTATAAGCTCCTGTAGAAGTATCTAGATATCGAAGAAAAATAATTGAAAACAAAAGTATAACTGTAAAGGAGAAACGGCTGGTAATAAATGAAGGGAACGTTGATAAATAAATATAAGAAAAGGTTGAAAGTATCAGAAAAAGAAACAAATTCTTGAATTAACACTTTTTACATGTAACTACAACTTTAAATTTAATTACGGTAGCGTTTTTATTAAAAGTAAGAAATGAAATAAAATTAGTATTTGTGTGCAGTAAATATCTAATGAAATAAAGTACCGTAAAGCCCGTGGCTATGCTGTAAGACAATTTTGCAAAATGGAAAAATAAGAATTGGAAAAATTTAAACTGGAATTCTATAATTTTGTGACATGTAACTTCTCAAATTTAACAGTAATCGTTACTGGCCTTTATAAAAAAACAAATATCAATATCAAGGTCTTTTTAAAACATATATGATTTCCAGTGTTTCATACCTGTCCATAAAATGCAAATAATTTGAGCCTTCTGAAGGGAGCAAAGAAGAGAAATGGAAGAGCGATCTCTATAAAGTAGGTTGCTACCACGCTCAGTCTCTGAAGCCACTCTGGAAGCTGGTGTGCGTACCAGGCCAGCGGGGTAACGATGCACTAGGAAGGAGATAAAATATGAATATCAAAATGCTTATTATGCCAAATTTATAAAGAACATGTGTAGCATCCTGCCTTTTTGAAAAAAGGAAGGAGGAGGCCCTTTTTTTTCTCTTAATGGCCGCTCAGCACATCTTCCTGGTCAGGCTTTTTTCAAGATGACCACCAAATTCTATATTAATTTAATTTTTCCCTGAAAAATAGCATTTTAGCAAGTTTATTTTTCTTCTTTTCTCATTTAAAAAAAACTATAAAACAACACTTTAATAATTGGCCATATTGGTAATGTGACAATATTTATGCATGCTTTTGTGAAGTGCCTCGATGCAATTATTTTCATCACCTGTTATCAATAAATGCATCTCAATAGTCAAAATTCAAATTGCATACATGTACATTAGTTGTGCTAGGTAGGACAAACATTATAGCTTGTCCTACCTAGCAACAAGTAATATACAGTAATGTATGCAAGTTGAATTCTGACTGTTGAAATAAAATTATTCTTAAATTCTTAACAGGTGAATGAAATAATTTGTATCGAGGCACTTATAAATTTGGTTACATTATGAAAATGGCCTATTGATCACCATCTAGAACAGGCTTTCTCAACTGGCGGCGCGCACGCCACTTGTGGCGCTTGCGGTAAGTCGGAGTGGCGCGCGGCTGTTCCAACAAATTATTAACAAATTAATAAAAACAATAAATTAAAAATTAAAGAAAGAAAAATTATAAAATTGTATTTTAAAATTAAAAAACTCAGCTAAATCAAAAAGTCGAAGTTGAGCCCAAAATATAATTGCAAGCCATTTTGTTTGTTTGATTTTTACTTGATTTTGACATTTTCCATGTTTATTGCGCCAAAATAACTATAAATTAAATTCCAGTGTAGATTTTAGCCAGGATTATTTCACATCAATATGAAATTATGATAGATGTTTTATGGAACAAAAAGGTGTTAAAAATGCCATATCTGGGCCTTAAAAAAACCCTAAAATCCACTAGCTTCCGGGGGCTTCGCCCCCTGGACCACACCCGGTATCGGCTCGGTCGCTACGCTCCCTCGCAACACAGTCACCTAACATACAGGTTGGCACTTCAACCTCAATAATTTTTTGTTTTGGCACTTCTAATAAACTAGTTGAGAAGGCCTGATCTAGAAGATGTCGTACCTGGGATTCATAATGGTAGTTTAGGGCGGTCAGCCCCCACCAGGTCGGGCAGCGACTGGTCAGTTTGACCACGCCCGAGGCGAACATGAGGCGGAAGAGAAGCCACCGGACCAGCCAGAGGGTGATGGCGTCGTGGTGATGGGGGGCAGGGTCTCGCCTCTTGAAGGGGTAGAGGGGTGCGACGAGGATGGTGAGGAAACCGGCCTCGAGGAGGAGGATGTCCCATTGGAACCACAGGAAGGTTTGACCAACCTGATAGGAGAGACAAGAAAAGATTATTAACTCTTGCTTTTTTAAGATTTACCCAAAACATTTTGGCCCAAATTCACAAAGAAGGCTTAAATTTAACCTATGGTTTAAAGGTGAAATTCAAAGAAAATCACACATATGTCAACTAATGTATGACTAGAAACTGGTAAGCTAACAGATGGCCATCGTACAAGTTTTAGGCCAATTACATATCGGGTGATTAATAAAAATACAAATACAACCACCTCCATAGCAGCTGGGATATACGAGAGATTCGCCGGAAAAATAACGATGTTTTAATGACGTCACTATATGGACCACTACTGCCCAAGCAGACGACATCCCATAAAGAATGAACATAACATTAAAGCTTTTATTTGTCAAATTATAATGAGTTTAGTGCATAATAAATGTGATGGCATATCAAACCATTCAACAGAATAGGGGTTAATTAACAATCAAAGAAATTAGACTTTCGAATTGAAAACCCCCCGGAATGATATTAAGGACGGCATTTGTCCCCTCTTGAAATGCCGAACATACCGCGGTGTCTACAGCTGAATATTCAATGGCGTCTTATTTTGTTTACAAGCGACACATTCCTTTATTTTTGTATCGCTGCATTTGTCATCAAAATAAAAACATGTGCAGGGTTTAGAGGGAGGCAATAGATTATACATTTAGCCTGATGGTAGTGAAGTAAGAGAAAGAACTCAAGAGAAGATGAAAACACAGGCACTGAAAATGTGTAAGATGCCATGGGACATCGTCTGCTTGTGCAAATCGTGTCCATACTGTGATCTCACACATCTCAGCAGCGTTCGGAGAGCTCCTCAGGTGCTATGCCGGGGCTGTATTTAAGCTATTTATAATTTATAATAATCATTACTTCGAATGTTTCCAAGCATTGAATTTGATAACCTTGTCGAATCAAAGTTTCAACTTTGCAATAATGAAATTAAGTTAGTTTTTAAAATCAATGAATATCTACTTTAATAAATAGCGCTTCTAATTAGGCTAATCATGGTTCAAACTCTTGCGCATCTAATATTGGACCTTTGACTGTGTCACGCTTATTTTGCGCTAATCTTAGACCATTGGTTATGTAAATGAAGATTTGAACCATGGGTTGAATTTAAACCTCCTTTGTGAATTCAGGCCAAAATGAACATCTTCTAGGATTGGCAACTCTATGTGTAGAAAGATATGTTGAGCACAAAAGGAGTAAATCAATTTGTATGTCCTTTCAATTCAAATGTAAGTTCCAATAATTCTTGATGTTATGCATAATCATACATTTATAGAGCACAGAAACTATCTGACATGAAATATGTGTTCTACTGCACTACAAGAGCTCCTGATATGCTTAGATTTACAGTTAATTGAAAAGATGTGCTTTCAATCTTGATTTAAAGATGTTCACATATGGTAATTTCCTGACTTTAAATGGTATTGGTAAGTTATTCCAGTGTATCATATACAGGGGTACTCCTGTTTTAAAATACTTTTAAAAACTCTACCTGATAAACAGAGAGGTAGAGGATCCAGAGGCATCCAAAGGTGATGCTGTTCCTCATCCCCCGGAGACGAGGCAGACAATGGAGAGGAGACATCCTAGGATGGAGAGGAGCTCCATGGCATGCTCCGCGGAGAGACCAAGGTCCGGCGCAAACCAGAGGAGGGTGGGCTTCTCCTTGAAGCAAGCGATGAGGTGTCGGCCGTTTGTCTTGAGCTGGGTTTCAGCTGGGAGGATGCCATTGGCGCCATAAAGACCTTGATGAAATAAAGAGAGGGGGAGAGAGGGGGAGAGAGGGGGAGGGAGGGAGGGGAAGGGGGGGGGGAGTGAGGGAAAAGTAATGATGAGAATCTGACTGTTAAAAAAATAAAATCTTTCTTCATATAAAGAGTTAATAGACCGGGATCCAAAATTAAATTATGTAAAGAGTCACAAACTGTCTGAGAATTAGCAGTTTTGCTATAGGCCTTGGATCTTGGATTCTTTTCCTCCTAAATACTCTTCTGAAGAAGAGTTTTGACTGGAGGTGGATCTTCCTACTTGCTATCTTATTTTTTAACGTTTAAAGGGTATTTTTTAATGTTGGATTATCTAGACCTCCACCCCGTTTTTACATCAGACAAAACGACTTCGAAATAAATTAAAATTTAATGACAATGCATCACTTTTCAGTGTTTTAGATTCTATTTGTTGACTGCTTTACAACAATCATATTCATATCATCAATTGTAAATGTTGTAGCCTCAAACCACATTCATAGGCACATATTTTACAGCATCTTTAAAAGACTGAAGTTATATTCACATTTCTGCCAGTCAAAGTTAGAAATTGAAAAAAATCGTCATCATTCATGGTCATATCATATCACCAGCGGCTAAACTTCCACGCGTGCGCGGTTAGTTGTGAGTCAAAATGGCCCTGGCCTAGCCGACCAGTTTTCGGTCAAAAATGGTGGTGGTCAACGGCAGGTTCCAAACAAAACTACAAGATAAATTGCTAAATAATTACCTGGGATCTGGATATAAAGAGATGCGAATGCAAACAGGTAAATTGCAGACATGCTCCACAGGAAAAGGTCCTTCGTAGCAACGATTTTTGCCATGATTTTGTTTATTTCCGAAGGAGTCTGGGACAAATGTTATGTATTGCGCCTAGATCTATGTGCACACACACGTACTGTACGGTCCTTTATGTATTCTTTACGCTCGAAGACGTACACGTGTCAATCATGTACGCGCGCGCGCATCCAGAGCTGCTGAAAATAGGGGGAATCCCCAAGAACTTGTCAATCGCTGCATTTTTATTGATTTTTCTCATCGACAAAACTAGCCACCAAACAAACAAAACAAATGAATCGCGCAAAGCCAAAATAAAAACTTGATCTACTTTATAACTTTTTAGCCGAAGTCATGCCATGATTCACTTAGGGAAAAGGTAGCATGGTTCAAATTAAGTTAGCTTGAGAATCACTTGATCATTCTTCAAATTTCTCTATAAACGGCACTCCTAAGGAGCAGGTTCATAATTTAAACAAACGGTAAAGGAATTAAAAAGAAACGACTGGATCACGGAAACACTACTATGTCACCGTTTAAAAAAATAAAGTGATATAAATAAACAATGGCGTAGCATGCAAGTCTCCCCATCTTGATTGGGGACACTGGTTATATACTCGCAGAGGCGGCGGAGCGATTTCCAAAGTGGGGGGGGGGGGGGGGCACCAACAAAAAAGGGCACTTTCTGGAAAAAAGGGCACCTACAAAGGGAAATCTCAAAGCGAAATTAAACAATTTTTAGACATTGGTATATACCCCTAAAATTTGATTACATTATCAGGGATGATTTCAATATTTGTTTCTCTTTATACATCGTATAAAATATTGCTTTTTAAAGCATCATACCTTGCAGTTGGGTGTGATGGTCGAAAAAATCATTTGCGAGCGTGGAAAAATATAAGATTTGTGAGGTCACAGTGCGAAAACTACATCTTATAAAGAGGAAAAAACCAATCCTCATCGGGTTATAAATAAGCACATTTTCATAACAGCAAACTGAAAAGACCTTTGATAAGTAACATAAATATATAACATCTATAAATGTGGGCGAGCGTAGCGAGCGAGCTTTGGGAGATATTGCTCTTAGTCGCTTGAAATTAGGGGCACGTTTAATGATGAGAGGAAAGGGGGACACTTATCGAAGGGATAAGACACTTATTAGAAAATAAAAGGAGCGCGTGTCAAAGTAAAAAGGGTTATTATAAGAGGTGAAAATGGGGCACTCACCAGGGATGAAAAGGCACTTCATAATATGAGAATAGAAATTGGGCATTTGTCGACGGAAAAGAGGCAACCATCAGATTTTGATAGGGGCATTTATGAAAAAGGGATAGGTTCCTCATAAGAAAGGAAAAGGGGCACGTATCATTGTTAAAAATGGTTAATTATCAGAGGTGAAAAGGGGCACTTATCGCACCTGAAAAGGGGCAAACACCAAAAGAGGCACTTATGAGAATGAAAAAGGGGCACTAATAATAAAGGGAAATGTGCATTTGTTGAAAGAAAAGGAGCACCGATCTGATTTTGATAGGGGCATTTATTGGAGGTGAAAGGGGGCTTTTATGAAAAGTGGAAATTATGAAGGAAAAAGAGCATTTATTAGGAAGGAAAAGGGGCACGTGTCAAAATAAAAGGGGTATTATTAGAGATGAAAAGAGCACTTATCAGGAGGAAAAGGGGGCACTTGTCAAAATAAAACGATTGTCTCTCAGAATTGAATAGGGTTATATACCAGACATGAAAAGGAGCACTAGTAGGAGAATGAAAAAGGACTATTTTCATAGGTGAAAAGGGGCATTTATGAAAAGTCGAAGGGCTCTTTGTTAAATGGGGGCACTTATCATAAGGAAAAGGGGCACTTATTAGAAAGGAAAGGGGGCACATGTGAAAATATAAGGTGCGCTTATCCGAGTTAAAAAGAAGTATAGTTATTAAAAGGGAAAGGGGCACTTCTTACAAAGGAAAAGGGGCAATTGTCAAAGTAAAAGGGGCACCTCTAAGATTTGAATAGGGCAATTATCAGAGGTGAAGGAGGCGCTTAACAAAAGTGGAAAGGGGCGCTTCTCGTATCCGAAAAGAGGCACTAACTAGAGATTAATAAGGGCACTTATGAGAATGGAAAATAGACACTTATTGCAAAGGAAACTGGGAACTTGTCTGGGAAAAGAGGTATGTGTCAAAATAAAAGGAGCACATATCAGAGGTGGAAAGGAGAGAAGGCACTTTTAAAAATTAACAGGGGCACATATCAAAATAATAGGGGCACTTTTTATGTAAAAAGGGGCGCTTCTTACAAAGTTAAAGGGGCACTTTTCCCATGGAAAAAGGGGCACTTTTTGGGTACTTGAAAAAGTGGGGGGGGGCACTGTGCCCCCTGTCCCCGGGTCCCCCGCCTCTGCCCCACCCTACGCCTACCCCCACCCTACGCCTACCCCCACCCTACCCGTTCTTCAATTCTACCTCTACTACCATCCTATGTCTACCCCTACCCGTTTTCCCACCTATACGTCTCCTCTATCCTTCGTCCACCCCCATCCTACCTTTTCTTCCATCCTACGTCAATATTCAACCACATATGCAACACTCCCCATTCTTGTACACTACCTCTACATACCATCCAACGTCCAGCCCCGCCCTACATATTCTTCCATCCTACGTCTACCAAACCTCCTACGCCTACCTCCACCCTACCCATTCTCCAATCCTACCTCCACTACCATCCTTCGTCTACTACCACCCTACCCATTCTTCCATCCTACCTCTACTAATACCATCCTACCGGTCCACCCCCACCCTATACCTGTTCTTCTAGCCTACCTCTACTACCATCCTATGTTTACACCCCCCCCCTCATCTGAAAAATACGAGAGAAGGAAGGGGAGATAAAGGGTAGGAAAAAGAGGAAACAGAAAAATAAGGGGACATCAGTTGCAATTTTCCCGCCAACAAGTGGTGGATCGGGAGGGGGGAGGGGGAGGGCCCAAAAGACCCTTGTCTCCCCCGCCCCCACCAACAAAAAAGAGAGAAGGAAGGGAAAGGGAAATAGGAGAGCTAAAAGAGAACAAAAATGAGTGGAAGAAGGGGAGATCAGTTGCGATTAATACCCACCAACAACGTGTGTATCGAGGGGGGGGGGGGGGGGGGGGGGAGGGAGGAGGCGAAAAGCTGTTGCCTCCCTCCTCCACCAAAGAGGAGAGAATGGGAAAGAAAAAGATGTAGGGGAGAGATGTAGGGGTGAGGGGTGTCGCACCCCCTCCCTTTAGCAACGCCCCTGTTCCACCCTCTGGACCTCACACCAATAAGTGTCCTGCCAGTGTCACAAAAAAGGTATCAATATATGCCTATCTGACCGTAAGTAAACCCCTGAGCTTCCGGGGGCTCTGCATGCCCCCTGGACCCAACTTAGAGCCCTAACGCAGACCCCTGGATGTTGATTTGTCGGTAATGTATAAACCCTTGGGCTTCCGGGGGGGCTCTGCCCCTCCCCCCCCCCCGAGACCCTAGGCCAGTATACCTGCCAGTGGCACAAAATAGGAATCAAAATATGCTCATCTGACCATAATTAAATACTTAAAACCCCTGAACTTCCGTTGGCTCTGCCACCTGGACCCCATCAATGGCCGTAAAGCAGTCCTCTGAATGCTAATCTGTCAGTAATTTAATTTCTTTCCCTTTTCCCCCCTTTCTTTCCTTTTATGTTTTTTCTTTCCCCTCTCTTTTTCTCCCTCCCCTTTTCTCATTTTTCCTGACGGCAGCGAAATTTTACCGACAGTAGCCTGACAGGTGGGGGGGGGGGGGGGGGAGGGGTGTCGCACACCCCTCCCTTTAGCAACGCCCCTGTTCCGCCCCTCGGGACCTCACATCGATAAGTGTCCTGCCAAGGTCACAAATAAGGTATCAAAATATGCTCATCTGACCGTAAGTAAACGTCTGAAACCCCTGAGCTTCCGGGGGCTCTGCCCCCAGGACCCCGCGCCAATTAGTCACCTGCCAGTGTCATGAATAAGATTTCAAAACGTGCTCATCTGGGTGTTATTAAATGCCCATACCCCCTGAGCTTCCTGGGGATGGGTGATGCAGATTTTTGTTTGCCCCCCCCCCCCAACGTTTTTGCTCATTAGTCACTGCTGGTCACCATTACGTACCAATATTTGGCTCGCATAATTTCAAATTTGCCCCCCCCCCCCAAGAAATCCTCGATCAGCGCCTGGAAGGAAGGAAGAAAGGAATATAAGCGGAATTAATATTACTTTAGAATCGAACGGGTTTGTATGGAGTTGTCTTGGTCAGAGTCTTGTAAATGGAATAGCGCCATCTCATTCAAAGAAAATTAATTTTTGGAAAGAGAAAATAGTAGTCATATTTTAATAGGCCTCTAGCGCCCTATTAAAAGCCTAAAGGAAACATTAAAACAAAAAAATTAAAGAGAGAAAACGAATAATACATTAGTGAATGTCTAACCTAAGACCTTTATTTTGGAATATACATGAGAATAAACTGAGTTTGCAAACTAATTACTGCACCTAAAATCTAAACATAGCAACGCCGACGTAATTTCCCCCTGTTGTTTTATGCGTACGGTAGGCCTACTGCGAACTAGTCGACACGATATCGCCGAAAAAGTTGTGGAAGCGATCGAATATGTAATCAAAGAAAAAAAAACTTCAACTTGAGTTCGACAGAAAATGACGAGAGCAAATTGGAGGCCCTACAAATTTGATGATTAGTTGCAGGACATCCAGGAAAATACTTTGTATTCTGATGACTAGGCCTATGCAATCGTAAATGGATACTATCTTGTCGATCAACACTGATGAACGAACATTTTGGTGAGTGAAATGACAGTCGCAACGATACAGAATCAGACAACTTTAGTTAACCATGTTAGCAGCCTAGTCCCACGTACTCCAACAGGTGTCTTATTATGATTCGTTTTTGTAGCACTATTGAGTGTTGTGCATGGACTTTTGCTTGCTAGGAAAAACTGACGAAAGTCTTTTATTGTTTATGTTAATAATTGATGTATGAAGTATTCACAGTGTTTATAGAGGAGGACGAGCAGGAGGAGTTGGAAGAGGAGAAAGAGAAAATAAAATTAAAAGAAAGAAGGAAAACAAGACTCAGTCAGAGAAAGGGAACAGGGACTGGAGGGAGAAAGAAAGGAAGCAAGTTCACATGTAGACAGCAATAACCATCTGATTTGGGTCATTTCTTTAATAAAACTGACATTTGTTGTCATTCCCCAATACAGATGGCAACCCAGAGATCTCGTACCGTGGGGGTAGCTATAGCCAACAATGGCAGCTTTTTATGTCAAAACATTTTCTCCCCGATTTTCTTTATTTAGATCTAATTTTCTGATTTCTAAATCAGATGTAAATTAGGTCGGTATGTCATTTGTCCTAATTACAGTTATCAAAATTTGATAACTTAATATTAAATGTATAATTTACGGACTTACTTATATGAATTATCCAATTTGTATTTCCGAACTTCGAAATATTACCCGGCGGCCGATATATTTCCGGGTCCACCTACCAAAACATAGCCAAATGGCCAATCAGAGCACTCGTTTCGTGGGAGTTCGTTGGTCAAGCTGGGCCGACTCGTACGTAGCTACGGTAGCTATTGGACGTTCGAAAAGAAAAAATGAATATTCATCAACTAAAACCAAGACGGATAATGTTGACGACGAGACTTTCTCGGATTAATCATTAATTTAGGATCTAAATGAGCAAGCTATCGTAAGTCAAATAAGCTATATATATGTTATTTTTAATTAGACTCATATTGCAGCATGTATGAGGATGTAAAGAGTGAAAATCTCGTTGCATATCTCATTCATCGCGGTCCGGTCGAACCGAACCATTTGTTCCGTACAGTGCCTCACAGAAAGAGGTCCCCAGACTTCAGTCTCTATAATCGGAGGTCTAGTGGAGCCAGACGTAGTCTCAGTGGAACAACCGACGATTAGAGAGACTGAAGCTTTCGGTCTAGTTCACATGCCAAGGAAAAAAAAAGTGAAAATGAAATTAAGATCATGACAAGAGATGAGAAAATGAATTTAAGATCATGAAAAAAGGGAAGAGAGAGAAAAAAAGGGGACAACGGACCCCTACGTCCCTAAAAAAGAAGAACAAAAAGGCAAGGAGAAGAAATGTTGAGGATTGGATTCATTGGAGAAGAAAACAATATGAAAGAATTAAGAATGATAATTTAGAGAATGAGAGAAGGAAGAAGAAAGGGATCAGGAAGGAAGAAAAAGAGGAGCAGGCAGATAGAGAGAACAAGAGAGTGTGGAGGTGAACAAAAAGTACGAAGCAGAAGGAGAAAAAAAGAAGTACAAAAAAGGTGAAAAAAGAAGAAGAAAAAGAAAGTAGGAGAAAAAGAAAATTATATTGTATTATACATGTACATGTAGAATATTAACTTTCTAAAATTGTATTTTTTTTCTTCCAAAATATCATGTTTTTATATTCTTTAAATTCAACTTGTATTTTATTTACCCCTCATATTTTTGGCACTATCATTATAAGATTTGTATACTGTGCAGATGAGATTTTTGGAGGGAATTTACAAATTCTATAATGATGATGATGATAACAATAATAATAATAATGATAATTTGACAAATGATCTGACGAATTTACAACAAGTTGTAGTTTTTACTAGAAAATAGAAATCCTCAGGACACAGTAAAGCTAGATTTTAATTTCTCTTTGATCGCACTATGTTACAGTGCTGAGTATTCTATGATCTTGGTCTATTCTTGGATGAAAAGACTCTCATACACTTAAGAGCCTTCATCATTGTGCAGCTAGTACACACTACACACACGCACGCATGTCTTGTACAGTGTGCGTGTAGCATAAACTGTGACGCAGTATGCAAATCATTGACTAATCATTTTTTGGAAGTGGGTATACAGTAGGGCTCTGCAGCTTGATGAAGAGGTCATCCTTCTTTGTGATGTAGAGTTCAAAGTCCAAGGTTGTAAACAAACCAATGTTCACCCTGGCTAGACCCTTGTAGGAAACCTTAATCTTCAACAGGTTCATAATATTAAAGGCCCATTCGCACTTAAGAAAACTTGAGTTTAATTGTGATTAGAATCTCTCTTTCGTTGAGTGTTGACACATCTTTTTTTCCATAAGAAAATAGAAGAAGAATACTTCAAGGAAATACCATAAGAATTAGAAAAAATAGCCAAACAAATATTTTTGCATTTGAAAATTGACCAGGGGTAACACCAAAAACTTTTGTGTTCATAAAACGCTCGTAAGTTACATGAGCTTTTAAGATAATATGAGAGATTTGTACTGCAAAATAATCTGACCAATAACAATACGGTACTGATTTTTTGTAACATGCAATTTAAGCTTCTACCAATCGTGACATTTTAGTGGGCAAGCTTTCGTCCACTCCTGAGAAGTTTTTCAAGCCAGGTAATTCTTCACACACTTTCTTGCTGTCTGCTTCCTCAAGATCACTGGAGCGAAGATAGGTGACAATGTCAGAGTACCCAGAGTCCCTATTCAGTGGAGGATTAATCCTTTTTATGCAGATGGATTCTTTCTTGAAGTTTTGTATTTTGTGGAAGTTCTTGCTGTGAATATAGTTGTTATTTACAATTTGTGAAAGTATCGCGCTGCGAGAGTTTCAGGTGTGTGAATGACTGAATGTCCCTACAATCATGGTGTTGAATATACACCCTGTTTATACGTTGCATAATGGTGCCTATTGGTGTTTACCTGTAACCAAATTGGGTGTTTAATTGATAGTAAGCAATCGATGTACAATGTACACTGTACACTCTACATTTAGAAGTCCAGCAGTTTTAATAATGATATTAATATACCGGTATGAGATTTATAAGGTGCCAAATCCAGTTCAAATCAATGCTCAAGGTGTACAAGTTCATGACCCCCCCCCCCCCAAAAAAAAGAGGAAAAGTTATCACATAATATCTGCATTATAAACAAAGGAACAAGAGTATAAAGATAGAACATATACAAAAATGACAGAACAATTATGTACAACCATGTACATGCCACAGTAAACAGATACAGTACATGTATGTTTTAAGATTTTTACTACTCTGACAGCCTTTTCACACACAGCTAAAATTCATCGTATCCAGAGATGATTAGTATAAACGTGTTTAACTCAACAGTTTTAAACATGTTTATAGAAAATCTTCCCAGTGTGAACATCGTTTATACGATGTTGGGAAAGATACGAAGTCGCGATTCATACGCCCCTAAAAGTAGGCTGCAGATACGAAGTTTGTATCTAGAGAGCTTGACATTTTGTGTGTGAAAGGTTATTCGTGTTTAAACGTGTTTCAGACGTGTTTAAACTGGATGGAGCGTGCGCTTTGATTGATATGACATGACCTTCAATGCGCAGTGGCACTACTGCGCATTTTACGAGCAGTAGTTAATCACGAAACGATTAACGATCGCACCGAAATTTCTGTGTGTGAAAGGCTCGTGATTAGTTTAAACACGTTTTAAACACGTTTATACTAATCATGTTTATAGAATTTTAGCTGTGTGTGAAAAGGCTGTATGTCTCTGTAGTACAGCTTAGTATTAACTCCAAGAAAAGAGTGGAAAAACGAAGAAAGGAAATCCTCACAGAGACACAGGATCCAACAAAATTTGCACTGAACGTTTGAGACCTTAAATGAATATCTGGCAACTGCATGATAGCTAGTATAGGTGGGTAATGAAAAAAGAGAAAATAAGGCCAGTAGATAAAAGCGCTGTTCGGTTGCCTTCTGCTAGAAAAAAGAAAAGGTGGTGTTTAATTGTCTATTAAAAGGTGATGTGAGTTTTACTTAAATTGTCTATGACTGCAATTTTTCTCTCTCTTCTCTTTTCCTGGTAAAAAAACAGTGATAAAATAGGGAGTATCTCTCAAATTTGAAGTTTGAAACCAGAAGAACTTTTAATTCCCTATATTTTCTGGATTCACAGAAATAAAAATTATGCCTCTTTTTAGTATGTTTTTGAAAGTACATGTATTAACAACCAAATGTTGAAGGGCTTCCTCCCTGAGTCTACCCTGTTCATATACATATACTGTAGAACTTGGCATAAAAAGCCATAAATTTACAATTTGGTGATGTTTTTTCCGGTTACACATACTACGCAAGCTTCTTTAATACAGTCTAGTCATTACACACTATGTACATACAATGTACATGTACATACAATGTACATGTACATGTAGTATTGATATATGCCAATGTTTGCTTCCTTATATGACGGTCGCCTTGCATTCTTTTGTACTTCAAATGGCTGCTTTAATTGTTCCTACATGGATATGTAGATAGTTTGTTGAACCTAACTTTGTTTAACCCAACAATCCAACATTAACAAACAAGGATACCAAAGTGTACTTAGGTGAAAGACCATGTCCCTGTAACATGTACAAATAAACCTTCGCTATTGATTGCACGAATGATTGAATGATCATACAATCAAATACATCAAGGTCTATTACCATTGCAAAATATCAGTCAGTTCCTAACTTATTTTTGTGTCCTAGTTCATTAATAATAAAATTGACATTGCAAATTGAAAGATGTTCTGATTTGAGAGAGCCCATGTACAGGACTTTTACTTGTCTTGTGATAACGTCAGGTAAACTGTCTTTTAATCATAATGGCCACTTCTCTATATACATGTACTGTAGGTCACCTACAGGTTGTATTGTCTACCAGGAACTTGGAAGAAATCATTGTTGCAGAACCTACAGTATCTAGAAAGTTCACTTGTCTACATGATTGTACTGGTACATGTACAGACACACACTTTTCTGT